GGCGGGAGGGAAAGGAAAACTTGTGGGAACTTGAAAACTTGCCTTGCGAAGCCAAAGGTGAATGATCATGAGCTGTTAACGCTCAACGGTTTTTATATAGTAGGCCCAAGATTCACGTGAAACGTGATATGGAAATTCACTGATGTGTACGTTGCGAAATTCCACGGGAAATAAAACTGGTTGAACGAGATTCCCTGCGAGGTTCCCTCTATAACCTCAATTTGCGTGCTACCCCGAATCCCTAAATATCCCTATAAAATTCCCACGGAAGCAATAAATTGATTATTCGCTGAAGCAAATAACTCTGCTTGTCGTTTTATTCCACCAGTCAAGTCGAATAAAACGACTCTGCTGGGACGTTAATTATATTTCAAACGTTGAACTTTTCATCAGCCGAATACAATGCTGCATAATTATTTTAATACATAAAATCAGAAAATAAGACTCTAACCGACATTGTATATGCGTGTATTTTTGTCAAGACCTGGCCAAGTAGTCTGAAGTCGTGTTTACACTACAAGCCTTGCCATGGCCTTGGTTTAGACCAAGGTAAATGTGGCGCGTTTACACCATTACACGGGCATTTGAGACTTTGGCCCAAAAAATTGAAAATTAATTTTGCATATTTTTATGTGTTGTGACGTTGTCCGCCGGTTGGCCGCTAATCTCTCACTGTGCGGTCTCACGTTGCCATGGAACTGAATAAAGCCCAGGTCAGCGCCAAAAGTGTTTACATTTTCACAAGCCCAGGCCAGGCCTAGACCACCGGTTGTAGTGAGCCAAGATTTCCTGGCTTAGGTCAGGCCAAGGTCTGTATACGTTTACACTGTCAAAATGTAGCCCAAGGCAAGGTCAAAGTAGTGTAAACACGACTTGAGTTTGAGTGTTGTAGCATGAGGGCAGTTTCTGTAACGACATGTTCGGTCTACAAAGTTAAATGTTTCTTGGTTGAATTTTCGGCGTACATTTTAAGACAACTGAAAGCTTTATTTATAAAACTTACAAACCTTCCACAGTCCTGGTTTAATAGTTATTCACCACGCGGAACGGAAGTAAACTGTTAAGTGTTTATGAATTGTCGTTTTCTTCAATTACTAGAAATGCTAAATTGCCAGTTGAGATGAGCATGCGGCACAGTCGTTGTTGTATCGTAACAACATCTCTGGTGAAATAGTGTTTTTTGCCGTCAAAGCCGTTCAGGAGACCTAGTAGTTAATGGTAATATCGTTTCAAAATCCATGCATCCTCGGGGAAACAGGTGTAATTAAGAGAAATGATTATGGCTCAACTCTGCGGAAAAAATAACTTTTTGTTTCCTTTTATTCGTCCGAAACAACAACATGAAACAAACTCGGTAATAGCTGCTAAATCAGTTTCTCTGAGTTGAGTTGTTTTTGCAAGAGGGCAGTTTCTGTTACATGCTTAGATTAGATTACAAATTTAATTAAATGTTTCTTCTTCGTGGAATTTTTGTAATTTTTAATTAAGACATAGTCATAGATATACAGGGTGTCCCCCCAAAAATGTACCCTGTCATATTTGGTGGTATTACTTCGCTAAATTTAATCAAAGGTTCAATTTTTTTGCAGTGGGTTGAAAAACAATCATATTATATTAATCGTAGTGTTTATCTCACCAAAAGACTTAACCGTTTGGTTTCTAGAGATACTTATAAGTTGGCGACACCAAATTTGCAACTCGTCCAAATTACGGAAATTAGGTTAAAAATAGTGCAAACTTTGCAGAAGGAATTCTAAAGTTTCTACCCACCTTTCTGCTCAAAAACAGAATGATTTTTATCTCTTTTTTTAAACTTTTGTTTCTTGTAGAAATTATAAAAAAGAGATGAAAATCCCTGGCAAAATGACAAAGGCAAAGCTAAGGTTGGGAAAATGTCTAAAATTTGCTGTTTCCCGTTCAATTTGTTCCATGAAAGAACAAATGTTGGGATTTCAGCACTAGTCTTTCCCCTTTTCTGGGGATTTGCTTCATTATTTTTACAGAAAATTAATTCGCAATTTTGGCTACAACTAATTACAAGTTTTAGAAAAGATATGTAGCCATTTACCATTAAAATATTTTATTACGTTCGGTAATATGTTTAAACCTAATATCCACAATTTGGACAAGTGGCAATATTGGTGTCGCCAACTTAACTAACTCTAGAAAGCGAACGGTTAAATATTTTGGTGCGAAAAAATGCAACGATTAACGTAATATGTTCATTTGATAAAAAATTAAAAATTTGAATATTAGATTACAGGTAACGACGTAGTACCAAAAAATATGATAGGGGACTTTCTTGGGACACCCTGTATAAACACACAGTTTAAATTATTTTTAAGTAATGTGCACATTCGTTTGTAAAATATATAAAGATTTAAAAAGCTAGTATAGCTCGCTAAATGTTTTGGCAGATGATTTCTTGTCGTATCAATATTCGACCATTGTACTTGTTCTTTTATATTTTACTACAACTAGCTAAATTATCTTGTTCCGCCTTTTGGAAATAGAGACCTTACGCTTTTAAGACGGCATCGCGACGGCAACGGCTACCAATACAATAGATTATTGAAAAGAATTGAGTAATTACAATAAATGAATATAATAATCCTCACTCCTCGCTCTGTTTACAACGCCAAATCACAGATTTTCACGTGTTGATACAACGGCTGCATTCCAAGCCACAACAAGTGCAACTTCAAACTGGGTTTAGAAGAACTCTTCCCAAACATAAAAACCATGTCTTCAACTTCTAAAACTGTATTAAATTCATACGATTGATAATATATGACGAACTATCAACTACCATTTATTTAAAGGAGTTTGTTTTGGCCGTCGCCGTCGCGGTTGCCGTCCTCAAAGCGTAAGGTCTCTATTATTACGTTCAGGAAACCGAATAATTAATGAAGTTATTATACATTGTAGTTGGTAAAAGCAATTTGATTGACTAAGAGCTTACAGTTAAATCGCGCAATCACGCAACCTACAGAAACTGAGTTATCTGCAAATGAGCCTGCGATAATTAGCAAGCGGTATCTATTTAACACAAACAAATGCGTGATAAAACACTTTGAATTCGGTTTTTGCGATATGCAAAATTATCAAATTCTCGGTAAGCGTTATCACCCTCGCCTCCGGCTCGGCTGATAACGATTATCTCGACCTTGATAATTCAGCATATCACAAAAACCACAGCCAATAATTGTTAATTACTTTCAGTTTGAGAATCTACCCACTGTGAGGCTTTCCGCTGCTAGTTTTGAAGCAGATTTACTCATTTGCGAAAGCGTTTTCATATATCCAAGGCCAAGCTCATCCTATTTTAAATCGGCGAACAGTAGGTCAACGTACAGTTAACCTGAAGTTCAGGCCCTAATTTGAAATAGGGCCTAACACAAAACCTGTCTACACCGTGGGACGCCCACATGTTATTTTTAAACACAACATGCAATATGATTGACAAGTGTTGTAGATTTCGTTACACAAAAAATTTATATTCTCATGAACATGTCCGCATAGTGTGCATTTTGCTTTATAATTAAACTTAAAAGTTCAAGGTACTTTTATGTAATTAAGAGTCAGTTTCTCTATTTAACCGAACAGCAAACAAAGATTTAATTAGTCAGTTCTGTGCACGGCTTGACTGCCAAGCTTTCTCAAGGTCTCAACCTGCTGGACGCGGATATACTCTAACGGGCTAACAACAGCAACAATGAAATTCTCAATCGTACCACGAAGAAGGCGATGTAGCTCAGAAAACAACGCCGGTAGGACCTGATATTAAAAAAAAAGACTTTTGCCGAAGCCAGTTGGCAGAACAATGATCTTGGCTATCAAAAGCTTTCGAATACATGACTAGTTTGGCTGTTCTTTCAGCGTAGTGTGTCCAAGATTTTGATAAAGCCCTTTCAAAATACTGTTTGTTTGATTTATTTTCTGCCATAAAGAATAAAAGAAAAGAAATTCAAAGAAATCGATAACGGAATTTGTTACGTGCGTTTGACCTTTATATTATTAATTGTCGCCTTGACGGAGCTATTTTTAAAACTGTTGTTTATGTAAACTTGCAACCAATCAAAATCCTTCATGATGCTGATCAACCAATCAGATTTCCCGTCCACCAGATGGACGGGAATCCCACAGTTTAGATAAGTTTTGTGTCAGGCCCTATTTCAAATTACGGCCTGAACTTCAGGTTAACGTACAGTCAACAAGTCAACTCTTTTTGACCTATTCTAATGCAAAAAATACTACTCTATAATTACTAACCATTATAATTTATAATTTATATCCTTTATATATTTACTAATATTTTTTAAATATTTTTTACTAATATTTTTTGACTGTTTTCATCCTTTCCTCTTATTCGATTATTTGAATATTGTAACCGTTTGAAACTATTTGTATATACAAATATACAGAAGTATAATTTCTCTGATGTTGTAAACAATACAACGAAACGTGATCTTCTGATTATCATTACTTCCGTTTCTTTGTTCTCCTGTGCGATTTGTTCCTATTTTTGAAGTGAACGTCACCAAGTATTTCGAGATGGACTGTTGATCGAAGCATGAGAGCGGTTTCTGTTACGCCACATATTTGGTTTAATTCACAGAGTCAAATGATTCTTCGTAGAATTCTTTTAAATCTCAATTGAAACGTTCAAACGTTCATTTTTAAAATACAAAACCCTCCACTGTCCTGCTTTGATAGCTTATTCATGGCGCAGGATAATTAAGTAAGCTCCAACGCCTGTATTCTAAAAACTCACTCACACTCAGAAAGTGAAGGTTCATTCTGAGCTTCCCTTGAGTGTCAGTGCTGTTTTTGAATAGCTGGAGGGTGAGTCGTCACATAGTAAGGTATACTAATTAATCCTCCAGCTATTCAAAAACAGCATTGGGACTGAAAGGAAGCTGCTCAGATTGAATCTCCACTCTTTGAGTGTGAGTGTGCTTTTTAGTAAACAGGCGTAAGTGTGGAAATTGCGAATGGACGACTTGCGCTTAAGAAAAAATTTTAATCTGGGAATAACAAAGGATATTTTCTGAAAGAAGTTATCAAAATTAGAAAAACTGCAATGTTTGGTTGCGAAATGTTGTAAAATACGGAAAATATAGCCCTGCGAACTTGGCAAATTTGTATACATTTCTATTACGCGCCGAAATTTTGTAACCAATTTAGTTACCAATTCACGCACGTAATACAAAAGTATACAAGTTTGCCAATTTTGAAGGGCTATATTTTCCGTATTTTACAACATTTCGCAACCAAACTTTGTAATATTACTAATTCCAAGACGCTCTTTCTAGCTGTGGTGATAGATTTCGTTGTTCTTACTTACAGTATAATTTAGTCTAAAGCGCAAGTCGTCCATTGAGACAAGCATGCAGCGCATGCAGCATGCCTATTTCTGGGTTAAAACACGGATCTGGAATTACGGGACTACGGAATTTCGGAAAAACAATTCCGAAAGCGGAAAAGGGTTTTCTTCGAAGTCTGGTTTCTTCAACATGCATACGTTATATTCTTCAACTAATACTCAATAAATTGTTGTAGGATGGTGAACTTGGGTGGACATAATAAATTATATTAAGTGGTACTAAGGGACCATACCTTGTCTTAGAACGATCACGTCGACTATATGTGATGAGGGCAAACTCTAGACTCTACGCACTCGGGCAGCTCAAGAAAACTAGACTATAAGTCAGTCAGAATATTTACTCTTCGGTTATTAAGATACGTATTAAGCGTGCCTCGCCAGCGTAGTATGCGTTGAGAACGAACTCGTCGGAGCTCATTGAATTTATTCAGAAGCGAGCCCTGCTGATAGTCAAGCAGATAGACGACATGAAGGTTAGTGCCCCAGTTAAAGGTTATTATATTCTGCACCAGTTGAAGTGGGCAATATTGAAAAGTGGATGGATAAAACAGAATGACATTAAGTCTAGCTAAAACATGGGAAAGCAATGTAAGTAGCAAATCAGCAAATCCTCCACTTGAACCAATAGCAGGTATTGAACGCAAGACATGGCTGAAACTATTGGGAATTACACTATGAGCTATCACCGCTGACGGCAGCTACTACGCTAATGGACTGAACTTATGGCCATACAAATGTTATATGTTATCCATGACGGCAGCTCATATGCTAAAGAGCCAATTAAAACACAAAAACAGATCCTAAACTATGGCCATACAAGTGTTCTGCCTTTACCCAATCCAGTAACGGATTTTGTTAAGTTATCCAGCTAGTTATTTTAAAGCGAGAAGTTATATATCTGTATGTCTGGAGAAGATACACATTTTTCGCAATATTTTTCAACTCCTCATGGTGAAGGAAATACCCTTTCACGATATGCGCTGACAAGCTAAAACTTTTCGGTGGGAACCCTTAGGAGTTTCATAGCTAAACACAACACGTTCCCTTCTTGTAGTTTTTGTGGCATTTATGCAATGATTACAGAAACTGATTCACTTTGACTCTGACAACGTGAAATGCTTTGTAAGTACTACTAATCTTTTAGTGAACTCACAGCCGGTCTAACGTGGCAAAAAGATTTAGTATTTCGGAACAAAATATAAAATAGATAGCTAATGACACTATCTTTCCCAAATAGCTACATTGATGGTGATAATTATCTCTGGAATGTCGGCACATTATTTCCCCACTTCTGCACGCAATGAA